CCCCCCCCCCCCCCCCCCCCCCCCCCCCCCCCCCCCCCCCAGCACCTGGGCACTCCCCACGTGGGCACCCCCGCCACCCCCCCCCCCCCCCGCCACTCCCCGCACCTGCAGCAGCCCGAGGCCGGCCCGGGCCCGCAGCCCTGCCCGCGACAGCATCTCCCGCTCGGCTCCTGCCGCCCCGCTCGGCGCCGCCGCGGCTCCCGCACCCCGCCAGGCCCCCGCACCGCCCCGCTTCCGGGTGCGCCGCCCGGCCGGCCCCGCCGCCCGCGCCCTCCCGTTCCGGCCGCCCGTAGTTCCGCCCAACCCAGTACCGCTCCCTCAGTAGCGGCAGCACCGGGCTTGTTCTCGAGTTCCAAACGGTCGTTTATTAAAATAGAAACGAACACGAAAAAAAAACACCGGCACGGCCTTCGCGACCCCGCGGCGAAAGGGGCAGCCTCGATGTCGTGGGGACGAGGGGTGGGTGTCATGGCGGCCCCCGGCGCCCGGGGGGGGGGGGGGGGGGGGGGGGGGGCCCCCGGGGTTTGGGGGGTTTCGGTCCCCGGTGTTTGGGGGGGGTTCAGTCCCCTGGAGTGAAGAGTTCAGGCCCCGGATGTTTGGTGGATTCAGGGCCCCGGGTGTGGGGGAGCAGCCCCCAGGGGGAGGGGGGTTCAGAACCTCGCCGTGTGGCTGAGGGGGTTCAGGCCCTCACTCTCCTCCCAGCCCAGCAGGGCTGGAGTACCTCGGCTGCCCGCGGGCAGGGGAGAGCAGGAGCTCCCCCCAAAACCTCCCCCTGTCCCGGCCCATCCCCACGCCCCAACCCGGGATCCGTGGGAAGCGACGGGATCCCAGGAGGGCCCGGGGAGCCGGTGGGGGACGTGTCTGGGTCTGGGGGGTGCCCCCCAGCCTGGGCTGGCAGGGGGAGGCTTGCAGAGACCCCAGGACAGAGGGGTGATACAACAGAGTATGTTCCAGCCTGTTTTACCCTCTCACCCCTGCCCCTCTCCCCTCCCTGGGCTTGGCCCGCAGCTCCCCAGAGCGCTCTGGGTCACCCCTAGACCTCCTCCTGAGGGCCCTGCCCAGCCCCCAGAGTTTGATGTCCCTGCTGCTTCCCCTCTTCCCGAGGACTGAGCTGCTTCTCAGTCCTCCAGACCCTCATGGTGCTGCTGGCACACCCCCATCCAAAACTGCCTCCTGGATGGGATTCGCCCCACACCTGCAGATGGTGCAAAGCTCCTTTTTTTTGGCAATCTTCTCAGATCCGCGGCGCACGTGCTCTGGAGGCTCTCGCCCAGAGAGGGCTATCCCCAATGCTTCTGCAAAGAGCCCCAGATCCCCATCCACGTGACAGCCGTGTCTCTGAACCTTAGGAACCAGGGCAATGGCCACTTCCCTGACTGCCACAGACCGCATGGGGTCTGCCTTGCCCTAAAGGAGTCAGAGGATTGCTTGGAGTGGGGCTGGCCCCACACAGCTGGTGCCAAGCAAGGCCCAGTCTCTCCCAGTCTTTTAACACAGCCTTGACCTGGGAACTCCACCCTGGCCAAGAGGTGGATCACTCTCCCTTCCCCAGTCACCCTCCCAGTCCCCACAGCCCTGCCCAAACAGGGGCAGCCCTGTGCTGGTAGGGTGAGGGGGAAGAACAAGCACAGCACCTCAGGTCCTATGCATGAGCCTCCTCTGCGCTCCCAGCAACAATAAATACTAATAAATACAAACTCTTCCACACTTTCTGCTCCCAGTCCCAGGCCCAGTGTAAGTCTTACCCAGAGCCCAGGCCCAACTCTTCACTTCCCATCCACCTCAGCAACAGACAAGTCTCCAAGCTGGGAGCAGCACCAGCAGGAGGCTTGGGCATGTCCCTGCAGTGCCAGGGCTGCTCCCCAGCCCCTACCCCTCTGGGTAAAGCCCCCTGGGTGATCCCAGCCCTGCTGCAGGGTGTGGTGTCCGTGCTGGTCAGGAAGATGGGCAATGTCTCAAAGCAGTGTTTGCTTGCTGGCCTGTTACTCATCTCTCCCCAGAGTGCTGGGCTGGAGGCTCCCCAGCAGCCCTGGGGGGTGAGGAAGGTCAGGCCCGAGGTGAGTAGCAGGGGTTCCTGGGCATCTCTGTGAAAGATTTCAGTTCATAGGGGATCCCCGAATCCACCTCGATCGACTTGCGGGAGAAAAGCAGCCGAATGTCGTCGTGAAGGTAGATCTTCCCCGACTTGGAGCTGTGAAACCTGCACAGAGACAAAAGCAGGGTGGAGGGACCTCAGGCTCCCAGACAAGGGCAGGGAAGCCTCAGTGCATGTCACAACCTCCTTGACTACTCTGGCCCCTGGTCAAGGTGGCCATGCTCTGGTTGCTTTCAGGAGGGACAGAGACAGCTGCCCTTGGGCAGGGTGGCAGCTCCAACCTTCCTGGAGGAGCAGCTGATCCCTGCTCTTCCCTAGGGTGACGGGGTCAGGCTGCCACCTTTCCTCTGGTGCAGCAGGCTAGGGACACTTGGGAGAGGAGCCCAGGGATGATCCTGGGGCAGGTGCTTTACCTCAGATGCATCAGGTAGCAGAGGACCCTGCGGGGTGGACTGGTGCCCAGTGGGTCGCTGGAGGCCATGGTGGCCCCCTCTTCCTCCCCCACGGGCACCAGGAAGATGCGATGGCGTAGGAAGGTCATGTGGTTGGCTGGCATGTCCTGGAAGTCGTACGTCACCAAGAACATCTTCACCACAGTCTTGTTGGGGTTAAATAAGGTCTGGGGGCAGAGGGGTAGGGAGTGAGACTGGGAAAATCCACAAATGGATCTGTAGAGAAGGGATGGGGCATCTGGGAGCAGAAGCAGCTGACCCAACAATCCAGAAAGCCCCACACCAGCCCCAGAGGGCTTAGCCTGGAGGTCAGAGGTCAGTCCTTTACACCCACCTCCACACATCCCATCCTGTCCCATCCCATCCCCATTGCATGTACACACTTTTTTTCCCAAAACCCCATCTCTCCTCACCAATCTCTTCCTTCCCTGCACCTCCCACCACCTTGCACCCCTGGGACCTCGTGCTCCACTCTGCTATGCTGTCTTGGTGGCCATGCACCCCCTCTGCACAAGCTTTCTGTTGCCTAACAACATAATGGTGCATACCCAGCCCAGTGAAGGACAACCAGAGCCCACCCAGCCCTGTCCCCATGGTGCTCCTGGAGGCCAGGAAATGACTCACCACTTGGATGGTTCCAGCTTTGGGGACACTGTAACCCTTCTTTCCCAAGGCCTCCAAGTCAATCACTCCCTGGGGCAAAAGAAACAGCATGTGAGAGAGGGAGAAAGCCCTGGGAGAGCCCAGTTGGGATGCACCACGAGGTTGGGCCCCACCCCCCTTTTCTGGGAACACCTGGCACAAGTCAGCAAGAAGATGCTTAGCTCAGTTCCTCTCCAAACCAGGGAATGAACAAGCAGCGACAGAGAGGAGGTGACAATGAAGCCACAACCATGAGGCATCAGGGCAGCAGCCTGCCTGTGCACGTGCTCTCTTTATTTCCCTCTTTGCTTTTTGGGTTAAAGACTGCTCCTGGCACAGACAGTCATCTGCACAGGTAGGTGGTAGATTGAGCCATGCTCTCCACAGAGGGGCCACGCCCAGGGTGCCTCAGGTGCCAGCTACAGTCCCCCTCATCCCCCCCCACCCCGCAGAGTGCCAGCCCTCCCTCATCCACGCACCAGGAAAGGCGAGGGCACGCTGTGTTCGGAGATGTCAAAGTAGGTGACGTCGACAGGCAGGGTGACGTGCTGGGGACAGTAGGAGCCACTGGCACCAATCTCGGCCGTGAAACCCTCAATCCTCCCCGACGGGGCAAAGCGCCCTTTCAGGATGGACTCCTGAGAGGGGAGGGAACCTTTAGGGAACTTCAAACACCAGTCCTTCCCCACCTCCTCAAAGCTCCAGGTGAGATCACCCCCACCTCCACTGCACACACCCGTCTGACTTGCCCTCACATGTCCAAAGACCACCCATGAGGGGCCCTGGCTCTGACAGAGACCTACTCTGAATTGGAGGGATAAAACCAGCCATCTAATACAGTGAAGCAGCAAGAGCGCCTTGGCTAAGCCTCGCAGCAGCCATCCCAGCAGGATCCAGGGTTGGTGCCTTCCCCAAGGATCTGGCTGAGCCATCCTGCTGTCGGGTGGTGACTGCATGATGGCCACTGCATGCCACGCCTTTTGGGGACAATTGACCCAGCCGCAAATCCAGGCTTCCATCAGCCCAGCCCCTCAGCCAGGTTCCCATCAGGTTCAGCCTCTCACACCCATTGCCAGTCCAGCCAGGAGTCCCCAGGACCCACCTCCCCCTGTTAGGTGGGCTCTGTTACCTCAAAGTTGCCCAGCAGAGCATGGCTGACAGTGGTGGTGGCCCAGGGTGCTGTGGGAGACCTGGTGCCCCTCCGGAGGCTGCTCCGGAGATGTCGCCTTAGAGAGAGGAGAGAAGATTGGTGTCAGATTGGAGAGCATGCAGCCCTAGGCTGTCCATGTCCCTGGGAACGTGGATCCCTCCCCAGATCTCCCAATCCTTTCTTTGCTGGGGGGTTGAACCCACTTTACTACTCCCCAGGTGCTGAAGAAACCTTCCCACTGCCCCACAGCCTGGGGTCTTGTGGAGGGAAGATGCCTGGGAAGAGGACTCAACCCAACCCAAATCCCCCATGAGGCTGTAGGGTGCTGGGCTGCCCAGGCACCCTGAGCCCCCACATCCATCCCACAGGGCTGCCAGGACACTCACGATTTGAGGCGCAGCCCGCTCTTCAGCCTCCTCCCGACTGCAGTGCAGTCTGTAGAACTCTGGAGGGGACACGAAATGGAGAACCATGTTAGGGCAGCGATCAGGGACTGTGCAACCCTTGCTCTGTCCCAAAGCCCCATGAGGGCCCCAGCAGATGGAACTGGCTCCTGTCCATGAAGAGCCACCATAAGCCTCTGCAGGGGTAGCCAGCAGGCAGTATGAGAACTGGGGTGTCTCGTGGGGATGTGGGGCTGCCCAAATCCGAGAGTGACTCAGCTGGGGATGAGGGTGTTGGTACCCAAGCTGAGGGTGCAGCACACGATTCCCACCTTGCAAAGCAGGTCTCGGGAAGAGCCCCAGTGACAAGACACCCCCAGACAGAGCCATGCACCGGCACCCCCTTGAACCTCCCAGGGAACAGTGACACATACGAGGAAACTCCCCGTCCAGCCTGGGAAAAGTTCCGTCCCCTGGTGATTCATGCAAAGTCCTCAGCAGTGTCACTGGGCAAAGGGGTTTGATGCCCAACCCTGCCCACAGCCAGGATCCTACAGCTGTGGGGTGGGGGGTTAAAGCCAGAGCCACACTGCAGCCTCCTTTTAAAGATGTCCCCTTTTCAGGGACTTTCCCTTCTGGAAGCCACACAAAGGGCAGCACAACACAAAGGGATGATGGAGCTGGCTTGCATGACCGGGCGGGAAAACCCAGGGAAGGTGCTGGAGGGCTTCACTCTGCAAGGACAGTGCTGGGGGCTGCTGGGCTGGGGGACAGTCAGGAAAGAGGCATGCAGGAATGCAGCTGTGCCCCTGGGATGGTGTGTCCCAGCTCCAAGCAGCAAGAAGCCAGGGTAGTTCTGCCATCAATTCCTGCCATGGGATGCCCCCGGTAAAGAGAAGAGCATGCCAGGTATGGCATGAGCCTGCTGCAGCTTCAGCTGGCAGGGCAGGGTGAGGGCAGGGAGCTGGTCAGAAGGGCAGGATAAGAAGGGAGGAATTGCAGGCAGCTCCTGAGCTGCCAGGGTAGTTGCAAACTACAAAACTGGGGGTCTGCCCCATTGCTGAGAGCTTCTGACACCCCAGGGACAGGCCACAGCTGCAGAAAAGCCAGTGGCACCTCTGCACACTGCACTGGGCCCCTTGGTCAGAGCATGTCCAGTCCCACTCCCTGCCACCAGACCCTTGCTCTAATGGACATCACAGCCAGGAGTTCAAGCCATCCCACATATCTGCCTTCCTGCTCATAAGGTGGGGAGAGGCCAGATGCTTTTCCCAAGCTTGCTGGTATATCCAGCTTAACATGAAGCCATCAGACACCACATTTGGCCCCATGCCATGTGTCCAGCTTTCACTGCCATGGGGATGTTGTCTCCTGCTCAAGCAAGGCTCTCCAGGACAAAAAGGTGGTTGCAAGCAGAGAGTCCAGTGAGTACAAGATGTCAAGAGCTGGCTGAAACATACCATGTGTCCTGGGGCTGGCTGTCATCTCCTGCCTTGCTCACATCAGTGCTACACCACTGGGACAGAACAAGCCACAGTGGACCACATTGCCCACAAGGACGGTCCTGAGCTCTGGGTCAGGCCATTCCCTGCCTCCTCCCATGAGCAGTGCTCACCTTGGCCACAGGAAGCAGGTGATTCCAGAAAGGGGCCCCCTTGGCATCAGTGCTGCGGCACGCTGTGGGCACGGGGTGGCACGGCAGGACCCTCTTCTTCCTTGCCGGTGAGGACAGGCTCTCATCCTCAGAGCAGGAATCAGCCACGACCTCACCAGCAGGCAGCAACTTCCTTTTGGCTGGGCAGCTGCTGCTGCTGCTGAAGTGGCTGCTCCCACAGGGTGTGGTCTCCTGGGGGCTCAGGTTGCTGGGCTCGGGGCTGAGCGCTGTCTGCAGAGCTGGGGGCTCCTTGCACCCGTTGCCCACCACTGACCCTTCATCTTCTCCACCAGCCCTGCTGCTGTGAGCTGGGCTGCTCCCTGGCTTCTCTCTCTTCCCACCAGAGTCCAACTGTGTTGTTTGTGCAATACTGTGCAATTCAAGGTGAAGTACATTGTCGCCACTTGCTGGCTCCCCATTTTCTCCATAGTCTGTGGGATGATCCCCCGATGAGACAGAGCAACTATCTCTCATGTGCAAAGTACTGCAAGCAATGTGCTGGGGCCAGGAGGAGTAGGAGGACGAGGAGACATACTGTGACTTGTCCTCTCTGCTGGCTTTGGGGCTGTGGCTGGGGCTGCCCTCGCAGCGGTGTTCCACCACACGCAGCCCGCTGTGGGAGAAGTGCTGGGCAGAGCCACATAGGGATAACTCCTCCACCAGCAGACCATCCTCGAAGGAATCATCATCATCCAGGGAAGGCTGCCCAAGGCCCCCATCACGCTTGCTGTCCACCCCCCTGTCACCCCAGTGAGTTCGTTTGGGATCTCGCCCTGCCTCCAGAGTTCGCTGCTCAGGGTATCCCCTTTTGACAGCAGGCTGGCTGCCTGCCCGCTGCTCCGTGCTCTCAGAGGAGCTGGAGAGGTGGGAGAAGATGGAGACCTGGTAAACCTTCTGGCGCTTGATCTCTGTCTCGTTGTAGCCCATGAGGATGCTGCGGTGGGTGCAGCGCTGCGAGGAGGGCTCCAAGGGTGTTTCTCCACTGGGCCGGGACAGGCCAGGGTCTGCACTGCGCTCCGGGGGCAGGGACGTCTCTGTGTGGATGTGCCGCATGGAGCCTCACTTGCCTGGACTCCGAGTGGAGCCAGAGTCAGAACAGCCCATGCAGCAGCAGGAGTGGGACAGTAAAGTGCCACAGGTCAAGGTCAGGGTCCAAGGGTGGGGGGTGGAAGCTGGAACCCCTTCGCTCAGTGTCTCTGTCTGAGCTCTCCACTATGGGGTGGTCTGCAGCACAGCATCTGAAAAAAGAAGGGTAGGAGGATAGAGATCAGCCCGGGATCCCCACCCTCATCCAAACTTCTGGCTGCAAAGAACTTACCGGGATATGAGCAGCTCCCCACACAACCCCACTTGAACCTCCCACTCCAGGGACAGGAAGAGGAATCAGGCTGGTGTTCCTTTCTGGGGAACCCTGAGGCATCACCCACCTGCAGGTTCAGCACTTCCTTCCCAGCCTGAGCAAGGAGAAAAGTCTCCAGCCAGGCAGGAGACTACTGGGGACAAGTCTGGACAAGCGGGGAGGAAAAGGCCTCTGCCCTGCCCTCTGCCAGGGACTTGACATGCTTGTGCTGCTCTGCAGCACAGGAGTCAGGCAGGTCAGACCAGTCCCAGGGGGACTCAGGCCTGTAATCACCCCTTTGGGCAACAGCAACAAGATCTCCCGGCGCTGGCCAAGACAACCTGTCCTGGCCACGTGCACTGAATGAGGGAAGGCTGGTGCCCTGCACTGCCAGCCCCACGGGAGGAACAGTAACCTGGCCTAAAATCCCCATTACCTCTTCCAGCTTGGACCAGGCACCTCTAGCACCTAAATCAGCAGCTGTGTGGTACCAGGATCACCATCCATCCACTCCTGCCAACCCCAAGGGCCTGACCTCCTCCATGCTGTGCGGCACCTCGCTTTTGGTTCAGCCCAGCTTGAGAGCTGTGAGAAGCCTGTCCAGGAGTTTTTCAGTTCTGGCATGATAAATACTAAAATGGCTGCAAGAGCTGAGATGATGCAGGAAAAGTAACCAGCAGACTGAGGACAAACTGCCCATGCCTGGCAGCTCTGCCTGATCTTGTGGAGCAAGGGCTTAGGAGACAGTGAGCAAGAGGGAAATCAGTTCTGCAAGTGGATCAAGGCTATCTGGAGAGCAAGGCTGCATGTGATATTTTGACCCTGCCAAAATGAGGAAGGGAAAGTGGCAGGTGAGGGTGGTTGAGCCCAGGAATTTTATTTAAAAGGAGTGCTAAAAGGTATAACCATGCACCAGGATATGCTGGGGGCTGACTGGTTGGAAAGCAGCTCAGCAGAAAAGACCCTGGGGGACTTAGTGGACACCAAGCTGACCATGAGCCAGCAATGTGCTCTTGCAGCAAAGAAAAACCAGTGTCCAGGGCTGCACTAGACACAGCATTGTCAGCAGGTCAATGGGGATGAGGTCGAGGGAACTGATCCTTTGTCTCTGCTCAGCACTGGTGAGGCCACCTGAGAGAGTGCAGCAAAGGGACACTAAGAAAAAATTAAGAGACTGGAGCATCTGTTCTATGAGGAAAGCTGGGAGATATGGGAATGTTCAGAGAAGAGAAAGCTTGGGGGTATCTTATCTATATATATATATGAGCCCCTTCTGAACATTAGGAAACGCAATTTTTTTTGTTACTGTGAGGGTGACTGAGCCCTAGTTGCCTAGAGAGGTATTGGAGTCTTCATCCTTGGAGATATTCAGAAGTCATCTGGACACAACCTAGGGCAATGGCTCTAAGTAGCCCTGCTTGAGCAGCAGGGTTGGATCAGACAACCTCCAGATGCCCCTCCGTGTAGCCCACACCAGTGCAGCCTGTCCTGGCTGCCCCCCACACTCACCCCTCTGCAGCAGAACCCCTCTTATCTCCGGATTAACTTCCCTGTCCTGCAGCAGGCGGTCGTTGGCACAACCAGCTGAAGACACCTGCCAGTCAGGCACCCCCCAGAAGCGCCGTGGCTGCCGTGGAATGGCTCCCACCATCACGGTGTGCCTCTGAGCCTCTGCAACGTCCTCTCCAGCTCCTCAGTGTCCACAGGGGCTCTGGGGGGATGAGAAGTGAGAGATGCAGGGCTGCAGTGACTCAGATGCTTTCCAGGAGAAGGGCAGGAGGCTACTGCCCCTCTGAAGGGTCACACAGCCAGGGAAGGCAGCTTGCAGTCACAGCCTTTCCCCACCACCCAAACCAAAGGCCACATACATCTCGACCATCTCAGGCACTGCTATCACACTGACTGACATTTAAACCACAAATACTTTAAGCTAAGCTGTGAACCTGGATTGTATTTTACACCCCTTTTGCGTGCCTTCCTGTATGAAACCCTGTGCATGTGAACAGACTCTTTTTTTTTTTTTCTGGCGAACATTTCCATTTCATGCCTTGCTTTGCAAGACACTGCAGCAACCTCTGGGCCCCCAGCTAGCTCCTGGTCTCATGTTCACCTCCTCCCCCTTCCACCCACAGCACAGGACCTCTTCTGGCCCTACAGATAAGGAGAAGAGCTTGGAATTGTTTTCTTCCAATAAGAGATGACTGTCAGGGAAGGCAGAAACAAGGAGCCTGACAGCCCTGAGCCATGATGACCCCCCACCAGCTTTCTCCAGCACAAAGACAACAGTCCTTTCATGTGCACAGCACTCACCTGCTCAGATGTGCCCTTGATGCACAGCTGAGATTTGCAGATGCAACACAGCTCCCCTGCGGTCATAATCCACCAGCACTGCAGCTTTGATGCCTGGAAGAGGGCACAGAGGAGAGTCAGCTCAGGCAGCAGCTCACGTTGCAACACCTTCAGAGTGGGCAGGAGCCCACAGTGGACACCTCTACCCTCAGCACTTCTGTGGAAGGGCAGCTCATGGGCTTTGCCAGCCCAGGAACCTCCAGATGAAGGAGGAAACAGTGCCTATCCCTGGGGACCCTGCTCTCCCCACTTCCCTCACCATGCATCCCTCAGATGAGGGCTCCCTGCAGCAGCCATCCAGAGGGAAGTCACCATCTGGGCATCCCATGTCAGCAGCAAGCACTGCTCTGAAGGCTGGAAACAGCAAGGCCAGACAAATGAAGGGAAACCTCAAATGGATGTTCAAAAGCACCAACACGCAAGAGCAAACCCCTCCTGGCACCCTGGTCTGGCAAGTTCTGCATCCCACCATCTTGCAGGTGGGAAGGCAGCTTCAGCAGGTCACTCCCTGTGTTCACTGACTGACCTCACCCGCCCCAGGAAACAGGCTGTTCTTTCATTACATTTTCAATAAGATTTGTAATTACAGCCTGCCAGGGCCAGTCCCTCAGACTCGGACAGACCAAAAGCCACTGCCAGCAGCCAGCCAGAACAGGACTTGCTGAGATACAATACACCAGCGCCCAGGGAGCACCTGCAGTGGGGCAAATCAATGCTGCAGCATAACAAACCTTGGGTCCAGAACCTCATAGAAGCTTTCTGTAAAGACCACCTCCTCCTGCACCCCACATGAGGCCTGCACCAAAGCACGTAGGAAAGCAAGTGAATGCCCTCATTTGTTGGTGGATGCTGAGGTGGTAACACGCTGTGCTCTGCCTGCCTTGAAGGTTGCTGTTTCCCTCCTCCCTCTCTGGGGGAGACTTTTACCATGACTTGCGTGGCAGAGTCAACCACTGGGAAGCAAAATCAGCAACCCACAGCAAGAATCACTGTGGTGCAGTTGAAGAAGGTGTGTGTCCATGCCAGAACAATACAGTTTCACCTGAATCCTTTCTTTCTCCTTCCCACTGTCCCTCTGAAGTCACAGCCATTTGCTCCCCGACAGCAGCTGCCTTTCAGGAGAACAGTTCCATCAGGAGAGGCTGATCTGCTGACACCACAAACCCACTCCAGCTGAGACCTAGAACACAAGGGGCTGCACCATGTTTTTCCAGCCCAGATACTGTTGCTTGAAGTATCGTGTTGGAAAATGCCAGAATTCCTCAGCCCACCCAAAAGTGTCTTCAAGTACACCCTGGGATCTTCTTGTACATCCCCCTGAAGGGATCATCACCCTGGGATGGAGAGCAGCTGGAGCACAGCACTGCTTCTCACCCTCTTCAAGATGCAAGGCACTGTATCCAGGGGAGTTTCTCTTAGCTGTATCTAGCTCTGCCTCCCACGGCACTTCCAGCCAGCTCTCCATAGGGCTCAGCCTCTGACAGCACCTACTGAGGTGCCCAGTACCTCCCCACAGAGCAAGACAACAACACCAGGACCAACTCCTGCACTCCAAGCGGGGACAACAAGGAGAAAGCACCTGGTCATCTCTCCCTTTGCCTCCCCTTGAGCTAGGCACGGCCAGAGCCCCCCTTCTGGCCACATAGATGGGACAGATAGGTCCAGGTCCAGTGCAGGTAGCATCCCCTGGATGCAGCACATGGGACTCCATGGGCCCAAGCTAAGGGCTTGGCCCCTCCAAACCCAAGGAATGCTGATTTTGCCAGTGTTTCAGCCTGGTCTGGTGCTCTGACCACAAAATAAGACTTGAAGGGCTTTGCCTCTTGAGGGAAGCCCAGCCAGAGCTCATCCTGCTCTCTGAACTGCTCCTGCCAAGCTCCCAGGCCCCCTCACTGCTCAGAAGGCAGGAGGGACCCTGTGCTTTTGCCAGGATCTCCCAGCACCTGGATCTGGAGCTATGCCAAGCACAGCTTTCCTCTATTTCTTTGCCTGGGGAAGGGCACCACGCTCCAGCAGCCAAGAAACACCCACTGCCAAAGCACCTGCAGGGAGTGTGTCCCAGGCACTGGGGCAGAAACACTCTGTTCCCTGGGGACACTGAGCCACCAGATCGTGACACAGAATGACACAGGGTGGGTCATGGGACTTGGCTTACCTGCTGGTTCCATTCCTATTAGCACATCCAGGGGAAACCCAGGATTAACAGGCCATGGTCTCAGCCTGGTGGCAACAGTGCAGGATGGTAGGTGAGGAGGGGTCCCTGTCTGGGCGATGCAGCAGCTGTACCACATGCCTGCAGCCTGCAAAAGGATCTGTTGCTGTTTCAGCTGTCCCGTGCCAGCCAGAAAGGAGGTGGGATGGGTGCAGGGCAGCTCTGGCAGCCAGGGAGGTAGGTATCTGTCATGCAGAGCCCTTGGAAAGGGGAGCCTGGCAGAGCTGGCAGCATAGCACTGGTGCAAGGAAGAAAGCTAGAGCTGTGCCTGAAGGGGCCACACTTGCCCAGCGGGGATCCACTTGGCTTCCCAGAGCAGCACTGCCAGCCAGTCAAGGGGACACATGGCTAGTGGACAAGAGGTTTTGGCCTGGGCACTTCTGGTTGGGGCAGAGCACCATGCCTGGGGGCTGGCAGAGCCAAAAGGAGTCCTTGCACCATTAGGACCAGGAAAAAAAAAAAACCAAACCAACCCCTAAGTGGCTTTTACTGCCTTCCTCTCTCCTGCTTCCTTTCCTGGGAAGTGCTAAGGAGATATTTGCAGCCTCACTGGGGGCAAAGCAGGAACCACACAGCCAGGAAGTAGAAGGGTTGTCATTAAAAGAGGGCAAATAGTCATTCTCAGAACGAGCAGAGCACAAGGCAAGAGAAGAGGCAACAGAAACTGCTGGAAACAGACTCTCGAGGATAAATCACAGCTCCATTGGTCCTATCTGAACCTGGGGAGAAGGGAGGAAATCTAACCAGTGCAAGCGCTAACACAGGAGCTCTCTGGCACAGTCTAGAGCAGAACCTGCAAAGTGCCAGCAGGCAGAAAGTTTCCATCACAACCCTGAGGGATGGCAGCACTAGCAGTAATGCTGCCACCAGAGAAGGGTTTCTGCACAGTGTGACAGACTAGGCACATCACCATCGGAAGAGAGCCAGACCACCTCCAGCACTGTCCACAGGAGAGGCAGTCCTGGGGAGAAGCTGGCTAGAGAGATGCTAGAGGAGTAAAGTGTGCCTGAAGGAAAAGATGACCAGCGGCCATAGCTTTGGCACTATCCTGGAATTCAGGTTGGGGTTGAAGGAGCTCACACTCGGTGGAAACAAGGGGAAGCAAGGAGGGGAGAGAGGGAGAGAGGATGCAGAGGGAGGGAGCATCCTTGTCCCACTGCAAGGGCAAATGCTGCTCTTGAGGGTCCTCAGGAGGCCTCCTGCCATGCCAGATTTATGCAGCTGCAGAGCCTCACTCAGTGCTGGCCCCTGCTAGTAATGGAGGGGAAGCCCGAGCCCAGAGTGGGAGGATTGGGCAAGAGGCAGTGCCTATGTTAGGAGTACGAGCTCCTCGAAACCACCAGACACAGCTTCTACAGGGGCAGCCCCGACACCTCCCTCTGCCTGCAGCACGGCGTTCGTGAGGTGCTGCTGCTGCCCTTCCTCCTTCCCATCCCGCAGGAGGGGGCACTGACGGGGGTGCAGAAGCCCCTGGGGACAGAGCAGCCCTCTCTGCAGGGCACCTTGCTGGAGGTCCAGCCTTCCGAGGAGCTGAGGTCTGCCCAGCAATATGCGACGCCTCCCCATCCCCAGCCCCACACACAGGTGCCGCAGGGACTGAGCCCTTCTGCTCGGCCAAGTCAGGATAACACAATGAAACCTCTCCTGGGAGGTAGGGGAGCAGGAGCAGAGCTCCCACCCAGCGCAGGGACTTACCCCTTCTCCCTCCGATGCCCCACGTCGTGGCACGGATCGCCTCCGCACACCTTGCCCAGGTGCCTCGCGTGCAGCCAGCGATGCTGACAATAGCCCGCGGCTGGGAAGGGGGGCTCACAGGGTCTGCAGGCAGATCCCACTATGCGACGGCCACCTGTGTATAGCTTCCCCCCACACACGTCCAACCTCTCCCCGCCAGCCTCCCCTCCATGCACGGCTGCCCCTCTTCCCAGGGAAGCACAGTCAAAGAATGAAAAGCAGCTTAAAACCCGGCAGGACAATCGGGCAGCTCTCCAAAGCCGGCAGCACCCCCTGCCCACCCAGCCCAGCAGGCTCAAACCTCAGCGATACAGCCCCACGGCTGCCCAGCTCCAGCGTTCGACCGGGAGCCCAGGAAACCTGCAGCAGGCAGGGCAGGGAAATCCCATGCAGCAGCCGCTTACAGGGAGGACAGCCCAGGTTGAGGACAGACCTTTGTCTCTGCCTGCCTGTCTCGCTCGCTCGCTGCCGGAGGAGGAAGAGGGGGGCGATGGGGGACAGCGAGCAAAGATAACACCCCTAGGAGGGATGTCACAGCCACGTTAATCACTTGGAATTCCAGCCAGCACAGACCCGGGCGCCGCAAATATGGGCAGCAAATGGAGATGCTCAAAGCTCTGAAATAATTGGATCCTTTCACAAGAGCCGAGCCCAGAATCCAGCACAGGAATTCAGTCCCTGCTGGAAGTCGAGAGATCAAATACACGGAGAGGCAGGCGCAGCACAAGCAATCCTCAGCCACCGCTGTATCCAGCTCTAGAGCTCCTGGCGCTGCTCTAATCTCAGGTGCCTTCCCAGCGGGAGCGAGGGAGGACCACTGCGGAGAGCACGAGTGCCCAGCGGAGCCCAGCTGAGGACCGGCCCTTTCCCACCCAACTTACTCTACTTGTGGCAAGGTGCAGAAGCGCTGCCAGTGCGAAAGAGGGTTTTGTGGAGAAGACTGGCGGCCTCGGAGCCCTGCTCGACCGGAGGAACAGTCCATGGGAAGGAGACCCCGAAGCTGCCGTCTGGCCTCCGCAGCCCCGCAGGGGAGATGCCTGGCCCGGCAGGCTTCCCAGCCCGCATCACATTCCCGGCGAGACGCACACACGGCACATGTAGGCTCCTGCTCGGCGCCTCAACGGCAATGAAAAGGCACAGAGGCTTCTGCCAGAAAACAAAGAGGCAGCGGCAGAGCTGGGGGTGGGGAAAACTCTCCGCTGCCCAAGAGGATCCCTGCAGAGGCAGCAGGATGCTGCTGGGCTCCACCGCGGCTATTCAGCCCCACTCGCCCGGCACAGGGAGCCCGGAGGGTGAGCAGCCCCCATTCCCCTCCCCGAGGCAGCGCCGGGTGGGAAGTGCTGGAGGACGCAAGCCAGGCCCAGGACAACAGCTGTCCACAAGCAGCAAATTCCTCCGGGCTGGCTCTGCTTCATGAAAAGCTGCGTCCTTTCACCTCGGTGTAGCTGCCATGCACCAGCACCCACAGGCAAAGGTGCAGCCGGCACCGTGCCTGCAAGCCTTGGGGAGCCCCAGGGTGCTGGCCTTGCAGCACCACAGTGGCCTCAGCTGTCACCCTGAGGCAACAAAGAAAGTGCAAGCAGTGAAAGGAAGCCCCTGGCCACCCAGGCACAGGGACATGTCAGCCAGCTCCCTTCCAGTCTGCTTGTCCCTCTCCAGGGGCGGTGGCCTGAGGGACAGGGACCCTGGCCACTGGGTGACCGTACAGACTGGCTGCTCCAGGCCAGACCTTGATGCCAACTGCAAGCAGTGGAAAATTTTCCACCACTGGTGATTACAAAGTCACATTCCTATGTAGCCCGGTCACAGGATGGCTGTGAGAAGGCAAGAGGGTCTTGGCAAAGGGGCCACTTCTACTCTGTGCGTGCATGACACCTGAGGTCTCTGGCACCAAAGCACTGTCACATCTCAAGTTCAACAAGGGTATTTGTCCAAGGGAGGCATCCCCCGGGTCCCAGATGGACTAAGCCCTCACCATTCTCAGTAAATGGTATGGTAATGGCCAGTCTTCGCGAACGAAGAGCCGGGGAAGGTCTTTACGCCTTCCAGCTTGCACATTGGATTTTTTTTAGGTGAGAGACAGTGTGCATGGAACTGAGCCCACCCTTTGATCCTAAGGTTCATCTGCCGGGGCCAAGCGAGCTTGGACGGTGGCAGCGAGGTCCTCAGGACGTAGATGGGCTAACGAGCTAACAGGGCTAACGAGCTCCATCTGCCCGGGGAGCGGCCCCGACCGGGAATAGAACCCGGGTCTCTGCGGTGACAGCGCAACGCCTTTACCCTCTAGACCACCAGGGGCTCCCTACCATTCTCCGTAATGCACAAATGTCAGCACTAATAGTTCTTTTTACCCGACCTCTCAAGAGGAGGAATAACACCCTGGGGCTGATGTTATCAGAAGCCCTGCAAACCCTATTCCAACCTGTTTAACTCAATTCCAGTGGTAAGGCAATAATTTACAGTAGATCCCATCCTGCCAGCTCCCTGTCCTGGGCTGTGCACTGTGGAAGCATGATCCTCATGTGCAGCATGAACAGTGCAGCCTGTTCTCCAGCACTACTAGCTAGGTACAGAAACAGGAGCCCCTGACAGGAAGCTCTGGCAGTGGGGTGACACTTTCTGAGCCAGGAGAAGACAGCATAGAAATCAGCAGGTGATGGGATCCCTTTTGCTCCCACCTCTGCCCTCACCTCTCTTCTCTCTCTGTTCACCACTGGATACAGCCACAGGCATCCACAGCCCTGTCTTTGCCCCTTACCATGCCAGCTCCTCCTGCACCCTGATGCCCTGTAGCCATCCACACTGCCTGAACCCAGAAGCACAACACTTCACCTCCCCCACATCCTTCACATGGCAGCTGGGCTCTGTATCCCCACAACTGTGCCCTTCTTCATAACCCACCTCAACCTCCACCACTCACAGGTCCTGTCTCCTCGAACTCCAAGGAGAGACCCAAGGAATGTTCCCAGCCCTTTACCTGTACTCTGCTGCCTCCTTATTGCTGCAGCCCACACCTCCACTTACCCCAATCTCCTCCCACCCCTGATTGCTACACCCCTGCAGGCCCACACCTCCACTTACCCCAATCTCCTCCCACCCCTGATTGCTACACCCCTGCAGGCCCACACCTCCACTTACCCCAATCTCCTCCCACCCCTGATTGCTACACCCCTGCAGGCCCACCAGCCCACACCTCCTTGCACACACTCCACTGATGAGTCCCTGAGACCCATCTGAGAGAACCACAGCAGCATCACCTTTCCCTACCTCCTCAAATGGTCACTGGGCACTGCAGAGCAGAGGAGAGAGTCCCAGGGATGCTGAATTACTGTGATCAGCTCCAGACACAGGGGT